GCAGCCTTGTCAATTTCACATTGGGAGGGTATGCCATTAGGGCTTATTTCCCTGACTCCCAGCTGGGAGTGAGCCCCAGTCTCCGCTTAGTTCCCAGCCAGGAGCAGGTCCAGCTGCTCATCTCTCCAGAGAAGCAGAGGGCAGCTGGCTTCTAAGTGCTGAGCTTTCTTGTCACTTTCAAAAAGGAGTAGTGAAACAGCAACTGTGACTGTACCATCATATGCTTTATGCCTGTCTTGGAGGTAGAACTACTGTCAGTGAAGCAGGGCACTTACATCAGAGGGGGAGAGGCTATAGCATAGACACTGACATAATTAGGTCAACATAATTGTGTAGTATAGATCAACCCTTAGTTTCTGATGATCTGGAAAATGGGAGGATGGTATTGAATGTGGGTTTCTTCTAAGGTAAGGTTTCATTAATGACAGCTGCTGGTCAATCCCAGCTTAAAATATTTAACATAGAAGGTATGTTAAAGTTAGGGTTTTTTTAGTTATATTGTATGTTTTGAGAGAAAGTACTATATCTTTTCATGTCCTATAAGCTGCCTGGCACAGTTTGGGGAACTATAAAATAGACAGCTCTTTGCTTGTTTATACATTTTTAGAAGAAAAACATTCACAAATCTTCTTTTGAAAGGAGAACTATTTTCCCATAACATAATATAGTCCCACATGAATTCTACATGGAGTCCTTAACATGGAACATGCCATTTACCCAGGAAATGTGGGACATTTCCACAGAGGAAGGATCCACCATAAAATATTAAGTAACTGAATTATGGATGAGAGATTTTCTTTTTAAAAGCTTCTTGTGCAAGTCAAAGTTGTTCCTGGCGATGAAAACTCATGAAGGCACCAATGTTAACAACATGTCGAAGAATAGTTCATAAACTGTTTCTTCATTTTCACAAACTAAGATGTAGTTTCCTTAAGTACGGCACGTATAGTGCTGTGCTATGTCACTGTGCCCCAGTTGAGGGTGAGGGAGATAAGAAAGAGGAGACAATGATATTCTCATTCTCCAGTTAATTGTTCCCTCTTCCTCCTTTCGATGTTCGTAAGTAGGTTAATTTTTATTTAGAAAAAAAAACTATTTTATGTTTCATCTCCTTAACCTCCCCCCTTCCTTTTTTTTCATTTTTTCTTTTTTCATGCTTGTCCCGAACATAGAATGGCATTCCTTTTGTGATTTGGCAGACACCTTCCTCTGCTCATGTAAATCTCTCCTCAGTGATCTCACTTTCCCAGAGATAGTTTCAGGATAAATGGAATTTGGGGTATCAACATATTTGGAAGAATGGAGAGGGCAAGGACAGCCAGTGTAATAAGAGACCAATTCAGGTAAGTAGGGTGCAGAACATTTATGCAGTGCCTTAAAGACAAGGACAACCTAATGGGGGGAATATAAGAACAGCAAGATATGCACGATGGTTCAGAGGACATGAACAAAACAGGCGATCATTGAGAGGGAGCCAGCGAAGAGAGAATAAAGGACAAAACAACATTACTGCCCCGTTTCAGATGGATTGGAGGAGGTGATGAGGTTGTCTCTGAAACCTGTATCTGGAGGAGGAAGAAGCAGTAATCGAGGTACAGAAGAAAGCTGTGGCTGTCATGACAAAGGAAGGTCAGATCTTTTAAGCACTGTGGAAAAGAAAACTGCCAAGATCTGGACACAAAGAGGATATAAAAAGAAATTGATGAGCCCCGAATTAAGAGCCTAGATAACAGTGGAGATGTCATCAGCAGCAAACAAAGAAAAGAGGACATTTTGGGTGGGAAAAAGAAATCCTGTTAATCTTAAATTAAGAATGAGATGTCCCTAAATAGATCTGAGAGTATGCAGTTTAGGTATGTCTACACTGTAAAGTTAATTCGAAATAACAGTCATTATTTCAAATTAATTCAATAGCGTCTATACATGCAAAAACCACAGGTGCACCCAGGAGCAGGTGCGCCTGAAAATGAAAGAGTTGTGGCAGGGGCTCGCCAGGGCTGACCCCTGCCCCTACTTCCCGGCCCTCGACCACATCCTGGGAGGCAGGACGGTCCGTGCCACCCCAAGGGGCAGCGTGCCAGGACCAGAGGGCCCTGACCCGGGTGTGGCAGAGGGGCCAGCATGGAGGGTGCCATGCCAGCAGGACCCCTGACATGTCCCAGCACTGGAGTCAGCAGGGTCATCAGGGGAGGCCACACCAGGTAAGTGCCATCACTGTCCCCTACCTGGGGGCGGGGACGGGGGTGGGGAGGGAGACCAGGGACCGCACGCATGGGCCATGCCTCCCACGGATCACGCACCCACCTGTGCACATGCGGGCACGTGCCATGCCACCCTTAGGCACATGGCCACAGCTGCGTGCCGCACAGGGGTCATGGCCTAATAGCCACACGTGCCCGGGGCGGGACCCAGCAGGACGCCCTCCCTTCACATGCCCCCTCTACACAGAGGCAGGGGACATCTCCCCCCCACCTCGGCCGTGCTATCCATGGCACAAAGACATGGGTGCAATCTTGGGGCAGCTCCCACTCACGGGGAGAGCCAGACATCCCGACCATGGCCTCTGTTCAAGCACATCAGCTCTGACGGTGCAGGGCACGGTTGTCCTCACCTCGCAGGGGGCGCTGGGCATCATCCACTGCATCCCCAGAGAGAACTGACCACTCCCCTTCTTTCTTCACAGCCGCACCAGCTGCACGTGCAAGGTGCACCATCCTGCCTGGGACATGATCCTGCAACCGAGGGCTCCTCCGGACCACCAGCACTCACCATCCAGGCCCGGATGCAGGAGGACCTGCAGCTCCGCCGGGAGCAGCTTGCCCAGGACCATGCCATGTGCTCACATCTGCAGGCCCTGCTGCAGAGCATGCTGCCCCGTGCTGCCCCAGTGCCTGCTGACCCCCCCAGCTACTGTTCCTCTTCCTGCTCCTGCCCCCCCCCACCTTTCCCTCCTCAACCTCCACATCCTTCTCCCCATCCCCCTGGGTACGCTGAGATCCCCGCACCCACCATGCTGGGAGACATGTGGCCCGACAAGACCCCCACATCTGAAGGCTGAGCTTTCCCTCCCCCTTCCTCTCCTTCCTTTCCCCTTCCAGATCCCTCTTCCCAGTTTTTCCCCTCCCCCTCCCACCCTCTCTTCTCCCCTCTCCTGCCTCCTTTCCCCAGTCTCCCCAGAGGTTCATTCCCCCTCCCCAGTTTTGTTAAATAAAGGCAGTTCATGTTTTTGAAAAAAATGTGTCTTTTATTTGACATCAGGAAGGGGGGTTAGGGAAGGGTAAGTGGAAGGACGTGAGGGAGGAATGGGGTATGAGCCCCTGGTGGGGAGGACCAGGATGGCTCTGAGGGCTCCTCGGGGTGGATGCTCTCCTGCAAGGCCTCCTGGATCCTGACAGCCCCCTGATGGACCCCCCTCCCGGATGGCAGCCTGCAGCAAGTGCAGCCGGGCTGATGGAAACAACCCCACAAGATACACCGGCGTGCCCAGGGGCAGCCCTGGCTCCATGTGGCCGAGTGCTGTGGTGTCCCAAGTGCGGGCACTCAAGGCACTCCAAGACAGGACTGCTTTGCTGTCCCTCATCGAGGTAGACAAGCAAGCGGGGAACCCTGAGAACTGTCTGTCCAGGGTGGGGGTCGGGTCCCTTTAAGCACGGAGCTCAGTTTTAAGCACGGAGCCTCAGGCAGCAGCTCCACACACTGAGTCCTAACCTGATGCCCTACCGGCGCTGGTTCCGGCCAGCCTTAACTTTGGTTCAGGGTCCACTCAGTGTGGACGCGCTATTTCAAAATAGCAAAACGCTATTTCGAAATAGTTTTTGTGTGTAGATGCATTATTTTGAATTAGCTTAATTCAAATTAACTATTTTGAATTAAGTTAACTCAAATTAACGCTGTAGCCTAGACATACTCTTTGAGACTGGAGAAAGGGAAACTAATACTGATCTTTTGTGCTGCCCAACCATTATCCTTGTTGAAAATTAGACAGGATTTTCTCAAAAGCCTCTGTACTGTTCTGAAACTTCTTAGACAGCAAATCCTACAATAGCAGTAATAGGAAAAAAACCTCTCCAATAAAACTCCCTATCCGGTGTCAGTGAATTGAGTCACGTTATGCAAGCATCTTTTATTTAACACAGTTTTTAAAATGCTGGATTTAACATATAAAACATTCATATATTGAAGTAATTTGGAAAGAGGAGATAGGGAGGAGAGATATTTCCTCCCCCTCTCTGGGTTTCTTTCAAAGTGCTTAGGAGCCCTTCCCTATTTTAATGACATCTAAACAGGTGGCAGTTGCTTCACAGTAAACACAGAAAGACAAGATCCTTACCCCCAGTTTACACACCAGTTTGTAGTTATTTATCAAGGCAACGTTATGGTCTTCATGGGGCATGGGTTGATTAAAATGCTACTTACCATATGTGCTACTCCAGATGAGACCACTGGGGACTTTACATGAGTGAACCAAACCAGATCAGTTGTTTCCTTTTTCATTAATGGGGCAACAGTCTCATTCAATATGCATCCCATTAGCAATATATCAGGTATTGTGATTCTCAGCTGCATGATAGCATTCATGTTTATTTGGGGTCTACACTGCAGGGCATAACTCGAAATAAGATACGCAAATTGAGCTACATCAATTGCCTGTCTTATTTTGAAATAGCTTATTTCGAAATAGGGAGCATCTACACAGCACTTATTTTGATATAGAGCACTTTTCCTCCAACTTCCCTTATTCCTCGTACAATGAGGGTTACAGGAGTCGGAGTAAGAAGTCCTTCAGCTTGACAGTATTTTGACACTATTTTGAAATAACTGCCTGCTGTGTAGATGTGGACTAAGTTATTTCGAAATAGCGCTAGTTATTTCAAAATAGTGTTGCGGTGTAGACGTACCCTTGCAGATCTGCTGTAAGAGGATACAGGATGCTATTTTTTGACAGAATTGCATAATGATCCTTTATAATAGGTGCACTGTACTTTTACACTTTTCTGTAGGTATCCAGAACCATTTACTGCATACTTCCTGCCACGCAGCTCCCCAGAATTTGTTGTATTTCCTCAAGCTGGGGAACTTCTTCCACTTGACACTGTTGGAACCCGTATAACTGTTGGATTCAAGCCAAGTATGTACAGCAAGAAGCATAAAGCAACATTAGTAATTCAGGTGAGTCCTACAAGAGTGTGTTAACAATGGGCTTGCTGTGTTATGTTAATGGACCAAAGAAGATTCTCTGTGAAGAAATTGTTTTAAAACAAATCCTGTTTCTAAGGTTTCCAACTTTTTGACGGCAGAAAACCAAATATGCTTGCCTTGCCCTTTCCTGCCCCTTCTATAAGGCTATGACACAACCTCACTCCTTCTTCAAGGCCCTGCCCCCACTAAATCAATTCCCTGCCCCTCTTTTGTTCACTTTCCTCTTTACTCACTCATTTTCATTGGGGTGTAGAAGGAGGTGAGGTCTTTGTCTGGGAGTGTGGGCTCCATGGTGGGGCCAGAAATGAGGGATTTGGAGAGCAGGGGAGGAGGGCTCTAGGCTAGGATAGGGATTTGGGGTGTAGGACAGGGACCAGGGATGAGGAGTTTGGGGAGCAGGAGGAGCTCCAGTCTGGGGCCAAAGTGTTTGGAGTATGGGGGTGAGGAGGGTATGAGCTCTAGGAGGAACTTTGGGTGCAGGAGAGGTTCAGAGCTGGGGCAGGAGTTGATGTAGAGCAGGGGATATGTGTGCGAGCTCTGGATGGTGCTTACGTTAGATGGCTCCTGGAAGGTGTTGCCATATCTCATAGGCAGCCTTAGACAGAGGTGCAGCCAGGCAGCTCTTCATGCTACCTGCGCCCACAGACTTCAGTTCCACAGTTCCCATTAACTGCAGTTCCCTGCCAATGGGAGTTACAGAACCAGCATTTGGGGGAGGGCGGGAGCAGCACAGAAAGCCTCTCTGGCCTCCCTGTATTGAGGGGCCAGACATGCCAGCCACTTCCAGGAGGCACGAGGAGCCAGGGTAGGCTGAGTCTGCCTTAGCCGTGCTGTGCTGCCAACCGGAGTTCTAATGACCCGGTCAGCAAACATGATGATAGTCTAAACAAAAAGGGCTCATGATTCTTGCTGTTTCCATCACTTCACACCAATTCAGACAGAAGTGACAATCTAGACATTTTGTTATATAGATAGAGACTTCACAAAGGATAAAAAGGGCCTAAGTTCATGTGTAGGAACAAATATCTGAAGTTTTCTCATATTCCCAGAAATAGTGTCTTGAAACTCCTTTCCAATAGCTGGCACTACTAGGCTACTAAATCACAAGCTAATTAAACAACAAAGATTGAAAATAAGATGCTTAAAACAAACCGAGAGGCAAATTACTGGAAAAAAGATGTATATTGGTTAAGATAATTACTCTAGTTCGCTTTAATTTGATCTGTCTGAGACAACTTGGAAATGGTAAATAAAAATATGAAATTTTTGAAAATGTCAAGGCCCCTAGATCCATTATCCTAGTTTCCTTTGTCCTGATTAGGAATTTGGGTCATTCATGTAAACAGAATAGTGACACTTCTCTCTCTTGTTCTTTTGTAAAGAAAACGGAATTTTGACCAAATTAGTTCTCTAGATTCTTTTATATTTAATGAGATTTAATTAATTTGTTATGTGCCACAAATTGACAGAGGTCAGAAAATTCAAATATAATGTTGGAACGTTTTAGTCATTTTTGCATTAAAAAAGTATCAGGCCAGATTCATCTTTGGTTTAACAACTTCTCTGCAGTGGAGTTGCATCAGCAATGCATTTAGCTCTTACTATTAGCTTCCTAATCTACTAGACTATTTTCCAAAGGTTCCTTATTTGGTTCCTTGATCTTATACATGATCTCCATGTGATCAGTTATTTATGTAACGAGCTGGGGGAGTGGGCATGCACACATGACTATTTATTGCTATTCTTTGACTAATTATTTTTAAAAGTTCATTTAAGAATCTTATTTTTAACTTAAATATGGTAACTACTTTAAAACAAAACTCCATAGTGATCCACTGGCAATTGTCATAACCCCTTAATTACCAAACAGAAACATCTTTCATTAAGGTCCCAATCTTTAAACTGTGGTCCACACAGGTGGATTGGAACCTTTGAACTCTGTGCAGCAAGGTGTAGAGGTCCATTTACACATCATGTTCCAGAATCAGGACCTAAAGGTCCCACCTAGTTTGGCGAGGTCAACGAGTGTGTGGAGGGGCTATTAATACTTCTAGGCTCAAGCATTTTGGGGCCAAGTTTTGCTCCACTGAAATCAATGAGTTCTTTGACCTTTTTTATGATGTATCTGTACAGCATCTGGTACAAAGGACCGCTGACTAATTTGGCCTCTAGGCATCAGGAATATAATAATAATAATAAAATATGCAGGTGCTGGCTTGAATTCCATTTTGCACTTAAATCTGGAATTCAATCATTTTGATTTATAGGAAAAATTCAGTGTATTGTTCTCAAACCTACAGCATTTACTCTTCAAGTACAGAATTAATGTTCAGAGAATTTACTGGTAAATCTGTGAATTAGTTCATAAAGTTAAAATTAATTAAACTGGGTCCTTTACAAATTTAACATCTGGCTCGGGCTCTTCTTTTTCCCAAATGATCTTAACTATGCAAGAACACAGAGGCAAACTTTTCATATAATTAAAGTGAACTGAAATCTTACATATTGGATGAATTTGCAGAAACTTGGGTATAATTCAGATAGGTTATTAATGATTGTTGTATCTAATTGCTATGACTATATAAATTGCAGACAAGCTTGTGTAAATTAAGTGAGGGCTATGGAGACTTCAAAGGTAACTCTTTACCAATCACCCTCCTTCCTATTCAACTAATTTGCATGCACCAGTTCTCTTGGTTGCAAGGGCCCACTGTTATGAGGGAGACTTAAAACCTATCAGGATTCCCCATTGGTAGACTAACTTCACTATCATTGCTCTGTGAAGGTTTCATGGCTTCATGATAGACTCAGCAATGGCAATGGAAAGGCTCCTCATCTTCTTACTATATATTTTAGAAATGTGTGTCTGTCTGTCCATCTGAGTCCTTTTGCTGAGTAACCCTTCTTAAACGGTAAGAGCTATGACCAAATTAAGTATGCAGCTTCCTCTTGTCATAACTTAAAATAAGATAAGGGTTTGGTTGTGCCAAGACAAAGGGATGTGCCTGGAATTTGATTGATTCTCATAAAATGGAAAGGGAAGGGTCTGGTAAGAGGGAGTTATATTGTAGTATGACCATAGGGGGCATCAAGGGGCCAGAGATGGGACTGGGAGAGCTATAAGCCCATTGGGGCAGCAGAGGGTAGGAGTGGAGAAAGGGACAGCTATCTACTGTATATTTCAGTTTGCTTCTGTGTCTGTCTGTCCCCCAGCCAGGAGACATGCACCCCTCCCCTGAATCCACCCACTACAGGTACAGCCGCCTTGGACAGGCATGTCTTACCTGGCCCCACACTGCTGTGGTGAGAGAGGGCTGGGGTTGTCCCCTCTCCATAGAGCAGCTCCAGCTCAGAATAATGATTTAAATGAAGAAATACAAAACTTATTTGAGTTAAGGACTTGAGCAAAGCTGGGTAAATCTTCTAGAGCTTCAGTGCTGGGAGACCTGTGTCAGGAACTCAGAGGGTCCCTTTTACAGTTTAGACACTGAGACTCAGATGCTGGGTTTTCCCTGCCTCCTCCTCCTCACATGGTGCCCTTTTTCACAAAAAGAAGGGTCCTTGAAACTAGTAAGCCAATTATAAATTAGGGACCAGATGCACCAGTATATTTCAATGTCTTTGCACTGCTCTGAGACACAGCCATTGAGAATCCTGGTTAAATGACCCATTTGCTTAGGCTACTTTGGTCCACCAAAGAATATGCCCATAAAAATAAAAGAAAGTTACTTCAATTTGATATCACATCTTAAAAAATTCAAAATGTTACATGGTAGTATTATTTTGAGGGTTTCTTGTTTAGAGTTAGTGCTCATGTTTTAAATTTATATAAATACAGGAAATTCTCTGACAAATCTACATTCAGACGTAAACTCCATGTATGGGTATGTCTAGACTGCATCTCTCTGTTGGCAGAGGGATGCAGATTAGGCAGGTCAACATTGCAAATGAGGCAGGGATTTAAATATCCTGTGCCTAAGTTGCATAAAAATGGCCACCACATTTTGCTAACTCAGCACTTTGTCAGCAAAAAGCAGCAGTCTAGAGGGGGTTCTGTCGAGAAAGAAAGCCTTTTTTGACAGATCCCTTATGCCTCCTGACAAAGTGCTGAGTTGGCAAAACGTGGTGGCCATTTTATGCAAATTAGGCACGGGATATTTAAATACCTGCCTCATTTGCAATGTCGACCTGCCTAATCTGCATCCCTCTGCCGACAGAGGGATGCAGTATAGACATACCTTTGTGCACTCTAGACATACCCCATGTAGGGACACCAGGAGAGGAAATAAAATATGAAGAAAATGAGTTTTCAAAAATCAGTTCAATCTAATTTGGGACCAATGCCATAATTCCAGTGACATGGTTATTGCATGGCATCCTGACAGAGCAGAGTTAAGGTTTTTGCATACCTGAATTGGGTATATGTTTTAACTTGTTTTACTTTTTCATGTGTATCCTTTAGTCTGAATTTTTTGGGCTTAAAATAATTGACCTTAGGATAATTACAACATCCTTATCTCTCTCTTTCTCTGTGTGTGTGTTTCTGTAACTCTTTTGGTATGTATTGTGAAATAAATCTATTACGTTTTTTGTTGGTTTTTTTTGGTCTGGGATTAAATAATAACAAGAACTCAGTGTCAAAGATCTTAAACTGCAGCAATGTCAGCATCTATATAACAAGTTCCTTTCCCACTGAAAATAACTCCAAAATAAAATATATTTGTGTGAACCTTATTTCTCACTATTAATCAAGCTGTACCTCAACAAAGTAGTATCAAACTTTTTACCTCAATAATCACACAGAGAATTACAAGAATTTGAGCAGTGACTGCCTCAACACTTTCACTTAATTTCTCCAAAAATTTTTTCCTTTAGACACGAATCTGGCCTTGAACTCTTTACTCCTGGACAAAAAGCTCTTGGTCATGTCGTCATTTTAAAACAAATTTCAAATTGATGAAGAGCTAGCA